TAAAATGTTGAATATAAATATATGTTGTTGAACATAAATATAAGTTGTTGAATATGAAGGTCCAAGTTGTTGAATTTTGCAACATTTGGCTAACCATAATCGAAACACAGAAGATCTTTGTATATATTTGCTGTTGGTGTTACAGGTTCGAATGTTTAATTTGCTCTCGCGGAATGACGACATTCTCTGGAGCCGGATTGATGACTCTTTAATTTGACGTCACGTGTCACAAACACGCGTGCTGAGCAGCTCCTGGCATAATAAACTAGCTGATGTTTTGATAAATTTCCGGGGAATGCCAAGATACCGAATTTTGCTGCGTTAAAAGTTTTCAATGGTGAAGGCAGAGCTCTGCCCTAATGGTGAGCGGTGGATGTGATTCTTAATTCAGAGATAAATTACATGAATAGGCCGATTACTGATAATATTCTTGTTTACGCATATGTTTTGCAGTTTAACTTCCGAGGGATTCAACTCCACAGAAAAGAACTTTACCCTTTGTTATCAATACTTTTGGGCACATTTCTTTTCGGTGCATTAGTTAACGACTTTGTTTCAATTATCAACGTGGAGATGCCTGAGAATTCGACTCACGAATTCACGTTTACCGTCCTGGTTAGTACAATATATGCTATATGTATCCGATAGAATGCGCACAAATAGCGATATTTGATGGCTGTTGCTATTTCATTTGAGGACGGAAAATATGTCAGTTACTGTGCTAGCTTAAGTTCCTATTCACCAGTGGTGTGACACGCTCCGCTCTCGAAATCGATTTCGAGAAATGTTTTCGAGAAACTTTTCGACCAGGGAAAGAAAATCGATTGCTTCCAGTACAAAACCTGATGAATAAGAGAAGCCGTAACTATTCCCAACAGCTGGGACTTTGCAACAGATAGATCCAATTTAGTTTCTTTTCGTTTGCGTTCTTTTGTTCGGCCCTTCTCAAACTCCAGTGTCAACTGCACTGAATTATGTTATGACAAGAGAATAGGATCACAATCTCTTGGTTATGATTAGATGGAAAGAAAGATCACATCGGTCGCAATAAAATAATTGATTTAAATCGCAAATTTTCTCTGTTGTCTTTCTAGTTACTCCACTGTGCGTCCTTCGTACTGGCTATCCTTGGATTTATATACAACAGTCTGGCAGAAAAGGAAATTGGGACTGGATTAGGAAAAGTTTCAGCAGGTAAGTGCGACTTGTCATTCAAAGATGGCATCACTATGGAAACAACACTTGATATCGCTTCATTCAGTTCTTTGTGCGAAACGTTTTCTTTCTCCGTTTCTTTTCAGCTTTTAACATGGGTTTATTTATTTCACGAATAATTCTCGAATTAGCCTTCATCGAATTCCGACCAGAAGAAATGCCAACAACAACGTGATGTGGACACCAATGAATAATCATCGTTAGGTATGAAGAGTCACCTATTTTTTGTTGTTGGTTTTTTGTGGTTTTGGCATCTGTCACACCTATTGAATACACTGAAGCAAGCGCTGCTCAACTGCTTTCAGAAGAAGGGGAAAACGGATCGAAGCCATTGTTTAGTACACCTTCCATTCTCGGCAAAATCTGCACAACGAGAACTTTTCTGTCAACTTAATTGGCGTGCTCATTTTGCTGCTCTGTTAACTCCCTCTCGAACCGTGCACAGGGACTTCTCGATGCTACAGGCGGTACCTCATCACCCGCCTTTTAGATTTTTTTTGTTTTTTTGCTGAAATTTCTTGAGCCAGTACACTTACCTGTACTGTTCAAAGAGTGTTTCAAAGTGGGTACTGTCGCATTCGTCGTTTCCCATTAAAACGTGGACAATGATAATCATGTATTTTGAAAACTCTAACGTCGCGATGATCACGTGTATCGCGGACTTGAAAACTCTGTGCGTATCAAATACGGACACATTATATGCGTTTATCTTTCGTTTTAGAGGTTTCGCGCGGGACAGTATTAAAAAAAAAAATTGAAAATCTAAAACCTAAGTGTAGACGGAGGGACAATGAATTGGCACTTAGCTTCCAAGTGCTATTATTTAATGAGAAAAATATTCCCTTGAACTTTTAACAACTTCTGTGGTTATAATTTTGCCAGGTTCAGTGCTAAGCTCTTTGAGCTTCTTGTTTAAAACCCAGCAAATCGCGAGTGTATGTAATTAATAACCTATGCTTCTTTCCCTACAGGTTAAAACAAGTAGTTAGCAATTATTTTAAGCGGTAAAAAATGTCAATCAACACAAGAACCCCCTGGTTGAAGGAATTTGAAGGAGATTAACACGACAATATGTCTGGTTCACCGTGATTCAAGTGGACGACTCAAACGCAACATAGCAAATGTCAATGAGTGCGTTTATTATGAATGATTTATCATCACGTGATCATGCTCAAGCGAAATTACGACGCAATGTGTCTGAGAAAGTAAAAGCCCAGATAAAATTTATGGTTTATTGAGGACGCGAATTCATTCTTTGCTACTGCTTGTTCACATGAATGTTGTCTTGTATTTGAGTTTTATGAGTAGAAATAGTTAGAAATTAAAGATTTATACAACCATTAAAGAAAAAAAAACTGGAATTGGTCCACAGAATCAAGTGCGTGTTGACTGATAGTTTAAACTAATCTCGTTCAGTATCACTTGGCGAGTTCACTGTCATGCAGATCTCACCAAACAAAAGCTGACGTGAAGCTAGAGGTGCGAAAGCTGGTGCGCCTGATTCCCTAAAGGAGCTCAGTCAACTTATTTTGAGTTATTTTGGCCACGTACAAAAGGAAAACTGAAAATAGTAGTTTACTAAGATAAAAAGACACCAAAGAGATAATAATAACCATAAAGGAACAAGGATGGCTAAGGATGGAAAAGATTGACACGGATTGCAAACAACACCTTGATAAATTTAGGCTAAACTTTTCAAAATGTGCAAACCGTGACGCAGCTTTGACCACGTAAGGTCGGTAACAACGGCGTCATCAATGATGACAACCTAGAGACGGCCGTTCACACTGGTGCACCATGATCGCCAGTAGTCACTAGTGTGAACGCAGAAATTGCTTAATATTTGAAAGCGAAAATTTGCTATGCAATCCTGAGGGAGCAGAGGGTGCATTGGCTTGATGGTCAGTGCGCAGGACTCCGAATCAAGGGGTCTTGGATCGAGTCCTGGCCGGGATCATTGTGTTCGTGGGCAACTGCACTTTAGAGCCTCTCTCCACCACCCAAGAATATAAATGGGTACCAGCGAATTGGCCACAGTTGGGGTAACAGCTACTGTTTTTAGAAACTTCGTCGAAGACCTCGTCGTCAACGAGTTGGGTGGAAGTAAGTTGCTAACCAACTGAAGTTTGGAAAGTGAGTTTGGAAACTCCAGTTTAACAACTTCGATGCCAAAACCTTGGGATGTCGGAGACAGGAATTCCCTAATTTAATCGAGTATAGCTTAGACTAAAAATGATAAAAAAGGCAACTCTTGTACTTGTTTTTAATCTTGGGGGTGTGGAGGGGGGTGCTATACAACTGCCCAAAACAGGCCTTTGAAAGACTATCAGGAGCCCTCCTGAGACTATCCATCTTTCCAGTTGAAAAAACTTAAGAACATTTTCCGCCACCTCTCAATGTTAAAAACGTAAGGCTTTCCGTTAATATTGAGAACCAATCAATGTTTTTAGTAGAGCTTGGAGCCTTTCAATGTACAGTTGAACCCCGCTATTTCGAACAGGGGAGGCGAAAAATAGTTCGAAATATATAGCGGGTATTCCAAATAGCCGATAGTAACTTACTGAAGGGAAATGGTATTGAGTTCGGAATAACGGGGAATTCGAAATAACCGAGTTCGAATTAGCGGGGTCCAATTGTATAAAGTTCATCTACCTGGGTGGAGAGAGGCACTGTGAGAGTAAAGTGCCTTGCCCAAGAACACAACACAATGCCCCCAGTCAAGGCTCGAGCCCGGACCGCTCGCTCCTGAGGCGAGCGTACTAACCAAGAGGCCAGTGCGCCTCCACATATCTATTGTGAAGATTGTCAATTGAACCACAACCAGTCAGTTTGCCTGGTTCCCGGCCCTTAACTGCTGCGAATATAAAGCACTTGGTAGAGCTGGGTAGGGTTAGTTAGGAGTGTCCCAAAGCATGCCACTGTAACCTCAGCCTGTGCTGTTGATCTGAATTCTAGTTCTTTTAACAGTACACCAAGATCTAATCTTGTGATAAAAGATCCAATTAACAAAGTCAGCCATACCGATTATCAACATTTTTTGACGCTGATCAATAAGGCATGCCCTAAAAGTCTCCAAGCCAGTTCAACAGGCCCAAATAAGAATACCAGTAAGGAGTAAATGTGTGTTGCTCACCAGAACCATCTTGTGAACCAGTCTATAGCACCTCTTCTTTGGTATTTATTCTCATCATGGTCATAAGGAATACTGTCCACAGCCTCCCGAGTGTTGAATATCTTCCTTGAAACTGTGCCTGGATGATAAACAAACAAACAAATGAATGACACATGTAAAAACAAAAAAATTCCCATTTAGAAAAAAAACAGCAACAAAACAAATACAAAGTGCTAACAATCTATGCTCAACAGACCACCAAAACCATTTGCTTTCATTTTGTATTGACTTTGAAAGTCGGCTTGGGGCTTTAACCCCTAATAAAAACCTGGACCAACTATTATTCTGGCCCTAGTTGTTCAAAGGCTGGATAACACTATCCACCGGATAAATTCCTTTCCAGTGGACAAGTGTTAACAAAACAAACCACACTATCAGTTGGATAATGATTTATCCAGTGGATAGAGTTATCCACCTTTCAAACAACCCCGGCCTGAATCACATTGTTAAATGTCACTGATATCTTGAAGGTCTCAAACTTACTTGGTTTGTCTGAGCGAGCATGAGCCTGCTGCGGGGGTGGTACCACCGTATTCTGTTGTCGCACGTCCACTACGTGGTCTCTGGCTGATCTGAGCTCTGTTTTGGTACTTAGTGGGGTGGACGTATAAGGAGGGGGTTGACTAGAAGCCTGGGTGACTGAGTATGAGTCACTGTGTCCGTTTGTAGCTGTTTTCCTGTGACTGTCTGCCACTTGAGAGACTGATGAGAAAACATACGTGTAACAATAATTGAAAATTTCTCAAGGAAAAATGCAGCTGACCATTTTTCACCTGCTAGTTTCTGACAGGTGTAGTGGCAATGGTTAGCGTGTTTGCCTCTAGATTAAGGAGCCTGGGTGTTCAAGCCTTGGTTTGCTTTGTGTTGTGTTTTAGGCAATAAATATACAGTACAAATATACATGTACGCTTCAGAGCCTGCGATAAGCCCTGCCTCATTGGTAGACTTAAATTGTTAGGTAACTTTTACATATTTTGTAACCCAAGGTTTAAAATCAATACTTGCATACCTGTATACACAAGGCAACTTGCGTACATACACTTGCAACTTGTGTAAAACATTTTCATGCGGAGTTGTATGATACCAATACTTCAGTTTCAACAGCTTACAAAATGCAGTAATTTTATATTCACATGCTTACCAACATCAGCTTCATGTCTAGACACACTGCTTTCAGATACTGCTGAGCTGGACGAGCTTGAGGCTGGCACCTGACAAATGAAAACTGAATTTAATCACAATTCCTAGTCAGCGGTGATCCAAAACACTTTTTGCAAGACCTTCTTTAAACAACAACAACCATTTTGTTTTGTATAATACAGAGAAAATCATACAGCAAAAGAATACATTAAACTTAAATAAGCAAAAAAACTACTCTTTAAAGCATTTTTACAACATAGCAGACAAAGTCATGCTATCAATCTCAGTATCAGGGTTGTCTCTAAGTGCCGGCTGAAGCTGGATTTTGGTCGACAATCACATTACTACTGTGGGTCAATAAGCTGCAAATACTCCCCTTCTTTAAGATAGCTAAATGAAAATCTCAGACACATAGCATTTTCTTAGCTACCACCCAGCAGTATACATACACACACATCATAATCCAATTATTTCCAGGCCTCTGGCAAGAGCAAAGATCAATTCAAAACTTCCTTTTGCCATGTCTATTGGCAATGTTATAAAACAATTATTGACTCAGACTTTTATCAGTGCATCATCAAGTTATGATGTCCTTTGAAAGCTTGGAGAGCACTACAGAAGCTACATGTAGAGTTGCTCTTGGCTGAACCTCAAACAATTCCTACGATTCCCTCCCTTCTTTTATGCTCCCTTTGTGCATCATAACTCGATGGTGGATTCTAAAGTATGAATAAATTGTTAAGTAGCAGCTGTAACATACTCACCACTGGGAGCCCAAGACCCACACGGGCCCATGGTGCACTGGCTAGCATCTGTCTCAATTGGTCTGCAACAGGAGAAACTTGCTTCTCTGGAGGAAACACTGGTGACTAAAAATACCAACAAATTGAAGTTAACCCCATTTCCAAATCACTAACTTCACCAGTTTTCTTACATTCTAAGTAGCCCAAGACAAAATAAGATGGCTCTTGTGAAACCAGTTACATGTACATCCATCCAGTCTCAATTTTCCCTTTTAGGGAACGTGAAGTTCACCAAAGGAAGTTGATGAAATTAGAGTTGAGAAAAAGATAAGAAAGACCTGTACTACTCAATATATTATTTCTATTTTAACTTTGTACATGTATGTCACACTACATTGCAACTCCTTTACGAGAGGAAGCTCTCAGGATGGTCACAGAGCAAATCGACCAGTTGTGAGCACGACTTTGTTTCTTGCTTCAAGCACATCAACATGTACCACAGGGATTTTTTTCAGTATAAAGTTGTATTCAAAATTATTGCCTGTCTTTGGGAACTAATATTGCCTTCCTGCTCAGTGACAACCTAAATAAACTGATCCCATTACGTCTAAAGACAAATAAGATTTAATCACACACCTTGCAGTTGGGACAAGTGTAACCTGCAGGAGCTGTGTTAGTTGGAAGACTTGCTGCATAACTGTTTAGACAACCCCAATGAAATACATCTGAAAAAAAAAAAAA